CTTCAGAATATTTTAATTAGTATTTTTTTGTGTTAAACTTGCATAATAGGATGTCCTATTGTGAAGATATTTTTCTTCAGAAAATAGGTACCTATATCTTGTTTTTTTAAAGAAATAGCTTAAAATAGGCTTAGATTACACCACCCTACCCTAGGGCATTAAAAGCTTTTAACTCAAAATTATTTTAACATAAAACTTTGAATAGAATTTGAAAAATTCAATACCATTTTTATAGGGAGGCTGCATAAGCGCTAATAGGCATAAGTACGAAGCATCGCAAAAACTGGCATAAGTGCGAACTGGCATATGTGCGAATTGGCATAAATGCACCAAAAGATTTTGCAAACATTGGCATAAGTGCGAATTGACATAAGTGCGAACTGACATAAGTGCAAAGCAGTTGCAAAAACTGGCACAAGTGCGAATTGGCATAAGTGCGCCAAACAAATTTGCAAATATTTGCATAAGTGTGAATTAGCATATATGCGAACTGGTAAAAGTGCAAATCAGTTGCAAAAACTGGCATAAGTGCAAAATGGCATAGCTGCGCCAAAAAAATTTGCAAATATTGGCATAAGTACGAAGCAGTTACAAAAACTGGCATAAGTGCGAATTGGCATAAGTACGCTGAATAAAATTTCAAATATTAGCCTAAGTGCTAGTTAGTATTTCGCACTTATGCCAATGTTTGTAAATTTGTTTGGCGCACTTATGCCAATTTGCCTTTTTGCCAGTTCGCACTTGTGCCAGTTTTTGTAACTGCTTCGCATATATGCCAATTAGCATTTGTGCCAATTCGCACTTATGCCAATGTTTGTAGATTTATTTAGCACACTTATGCCAGTTTGCAATTATGCAAATGTTTGCAAAATCTTTTGGCGCACTTATGCCAACTAGCATAGTTGCAGCCACGCCCGTAATACCTAGTTATGAGCATCATTTTTACCTAGTTATGAGCATTACCTAGTTATGAGCATATTTATACCTAGTTATGAGCATCAATATTTTTAATAAAAAGATCATTATTTTTTGTTTCTTAAAAATTTTTCAAAATAAAAGAAATCTAAAATTTAAGGATACACTCGGACTTATTATTAAGCATACACTTACAAAAACTTAGTTGGACTTAATAAACCAAATTATTTTCTCTCTATTTTATTGCAAAACTATTTAAACAAAAATTGAATAAAAACATCAATTTAAAATTTTTTAATAAAAAAAATATTTATACTTAAACTTTTTTAATAGTATGATTGATCAAATAGCAATATCTCTAGAAAGTAGGTTGCATCTAAAGAGTTTAGTATTTTTTTAAGTTTACTCATTTTTTTTGATTAACAAATGTTTTGTTATTGTTTTATAACAAAAAGACCAAAAGCAGCGTGTCATATTCAGAGACACCATATCACTGAATGAAATTATATCATTGAGAGACAAAACATCACTGAGAGACACCGTATAACTGAAAGACACCATATCAGTAAATCAAAAGAAATCTAATAGCAAAAATAATTGGAATCATCAAAGACAAAAACAACTTGATCACCTTGCAAAAAGGATATCAACCTTATACCAAAATAGTGTAAAACGTGGCTGATATCTTCAATTACAAGGTAAGGTGAAGTAATTTACATCTACTAATACCATCACAACTATTAGATATATGGGTATCAATGAAGCAGAGTAAAAGTAGAGCTTGAAAAAGATCTGGGGTTGATCAACGTTTTGACTTAAAGTGGGACAGACAAATCAACTGTAATAGCAACAACAAATTGCATATTGGGTCAGCTTCAAAGCTCTTTTAAATACCTTAACATTTTCAAGATGCTCTTCAAATAAATGGTGAAGCCTAATCTGGAGTACAGTGCTTCCATATGAAATCCAAATTAAAAAAATATTGAAGCCATTAAGGCGGTCCAGAGAAAAACAACTAAACTAGTACAAGAAGTTAAAATAAGGGAAAAATCAGTGCCTTAAAAACAATGGAAAAAAGACAAATAAAAAGAAAACCAAATTCAATAATTCAAAATAAAAACTAAATAAACTTTTCTTTAAATATAACTCAAGAAAAACGCAACCACAAGACAACAAAACTTCCTAATAAGAGAGCAAAAGTCTGATGTTTAGTGCAACTTTTTAAACAGGATAGTCAAAATAATGGAATCAATTGTCACTATACCGTCAAAATTCAAACACTAAACATTTTAAAAAACAATTACAACAACTTATAAAAATAAACTTCATTATAATAAAGTTTATACTTTTTGAGTCTCATTGACATCAAAACTCCCAATTATTTAAAATAGCTCAAAAAAACTAGTTTATTAAACTAGTTTTTTTTTTCAATCTTGAGCTATTTTAAATAATTGGTAGTTTTGATGTCAAAGAGACTCAAAAAGTTGTCAACCAACATTTAAAATAATTCATAACCACTTTTAAAAAACATATTGTTGCATCAACAGCCTACAGTGCAAATGTATAAGTTAGGGCATGAAAGTACTGCTCACCATGTGTAATGCATAAATCATACTATTAACCTGGCTGTGATAAATACTTTCAAGAAAAGTAGATTTTTGTTAAGAAATAAGTGATAATGAAACAAATTTAGAACTTTCTGAAACAGGATCAAAAAATAACTTTTTGTTGAAAACTATGATTAAGACCACTGGACTAAAACTGCGAACAGGCCATACAATTTATTATCCACAAACAAGACTTCAAAATGAAAACTAGTTTAATAAGTGATATAAAAACCAGATGGAGTTCTCTTGGTTGAAAGATTTACCATGTTGTATAACTGTATAAAAATCAGTCTGATCGAATTGAATGCTATTAAAGATAATATTCAAGTAAATAATTTTAATAATTTAAACATGTTAGGAGTTTTTGTTTTCTTGAACTGCTAAGGCAGAAAAGATGCCATAATACTAACATACAATAATTAATTCATATTTTTAATGAAAAAGTTGACAGAAGGAATCTCTGAACTAAGATTTAGTTTTAAATAGGTTTTACTTAAATGTATAAACCAGAAAAGTAAACTGATGGTGTCACTAGCGATGTTTTTGTATAATATATCTTCATTAAAAGAAAAAAAAAGACTGCCAAGAGAAGATGAAGAAATTCTATGTATTCAGTCAAAACATAAATCTGAAGCCTAACCTTATTAATATCAGTTTCTGATGAGTTGAATTTAGCAATACAAAAATGGCAATAATTTACACTGTCATTTATTTTATTTCTTTAAACAAAGAACTTCAAATATATGAAGCCACAGAAGTAAGATAAATATATATGTAAATAAGAGAAATATGCATTATATCTAACAATGAAACTAACTTCACAATTTAAGACGTAACATATTTTAAAACCAATGAAGACGTAACATACATTTAAAAAAATCTATGTTAACGTTGCGAATTGAGACAAAGCTATTTTACAATAAAAATATAATTAAAGATGATATTTTTATTATTGTGGTATTAGAAATACCACAAAAATAAAAAAAACTTTTACTACATTATAGAGTTTATTTAATTAAAAATCAGACATAACTTTGTTACCAATTGTAACCGATTGAGACAACATAAATTTAAAATGTTATAAGGCTATGGTGCTAGATGCAGTCTGGTTGTTTCGCTGTTTTTATATATGGTTTCTAGTACCATAATTCTTCACCATATGCTTTCTTAAAATATTGGCACTACTCAGCATCAACTAAACAATATTTTAGGCCCAAAATTAACTATTTATTTGTACTTTACCTTAGAATATTATAGAATATTTGTCAAAAAAAAAAAAAAATGTAAATCCTACATTTCCTGGTATATCAGAATTTGAAAAGATAAAGTATATTATTACCAATGATGGTTTATAAAACGATGTTTTGTAAACCATTATGGCTCAACATGATATTCAACATTGATTTAGTATTGGTTAGTTTTATTTAAGATTATTTAATTGAAAATAAATTAAAATAAATTAAAAATGGAATAAAACAAAATTTTCAAAAAATTCTTTTTAGAAACTTTTTTATCATTAGGCCAAAAACTTAATTCTTGATCAAGTCTCTGCTACACTAAAGGGAAATATGTGAATACAGACTGAGGAATCCACAAGCCAGGTTTTAAGTAAAAATTTAGATAACTAGGGTTGAGAATCAAACATCTACAATTTTAAACTGAATTCTGAAGTCTCAAAGCTTCAATATAATTAAAAGAAAATTGCTCAGGAAAAAAACATAACTATAAACTGCAAATTTAAAAATAATAGATTCCATAATTCTAAAAAATATGTTCTAGGACTTAAAACAAATTAATTCTCACCATAAATCTTATAAATTTCTAAACATTTTTGGAGCTCTAGGAAAACCAAGTTCAGATAATAATTTCTAAACATTATTGGAGCTCTAGGAATATTTAGTCCAAGTAAAAATCGTAAATATAGAGGTGGCGGTGTTTAGTTGGGACTATCAATTATCAATTGTTAAAAATGTGACCAGGGTTGTTAGTCCTTGGCCTTGCCTTAAGGCCAAAAATTAAGGCCTAGGCCTCGAAACTTTTGGCCTTGGCCTTGATTGTTTTGGCCTTCATAAAAAAATTCATAAAATTAAAGAATTAAAATTTTTCATTTTTTATTTTTATTTAACTTTGTTTTCGGCTTTCATATATATCTAGAAATATATTTTCTTATTGACTTTGTTTAATTCTAATTTCACATAAGTGGTTTTATTGTCACAGCACTTGCTACCTACAGTTTTGTTAATAATTGGCCTTAACGTTAAGACAAAAATTAAAGTCTTTGGCATAAATTTGCGTAGGCCTTAGCCTTGAAACTCTTATTCGTGGCCTTGGTCTTGTAACATGTGGCATTGACCTTGGGTATGCTACTTATGGCCATGTTAACAACTCTAAATGTGCACCATCAATTGCTAAAATTATGAACTCTAATATTAAATTTATTTTGGGGTTTAATACTAATTGTTTAAAAAAAAAAAATACCAGTCTTCCTCCAGCAAATAAACTCCATCGACTAGAGTTAGTGTATAAACAGATATGATGCTCGCCAGGAGTATGTGAAGTAAATGTAAACCTTCCTTCAGATGCATAAAACTTGGATAAAACTACTTTTTTCTCTGGATCAGTAACTTCTACATGCATACCAATACCAGGACTAGCAGGCAGGTAATCATTCATAGAATCATCATACAATTGAGTACGGTATTTCCCTAAAAATTTATAAATAAAAAATGTGATTAATGAACAAAAAATTTAAAAACTATAATGTGTAATAAATATTTTTATGTAGAATTCAATATATATTTTATATTCTTTAAACATTGAATTATGTAGACAATCTAATTTTTAGTTGTTTCTATTAATTGAACATATTTCTATTTCAGAATAGGCTAAAAGATTTTCATCTGTGGAATTTCAAAGATTATCATTTTCATAATGAGAAGCAGTATTTCTAGTCATATATGCCAAAACGCTTAACATTTTAAAAGACTTATAAACTTTTTTTTGTGGGGGATGGGAAGGGGGGAGGGTGTTGGGGGTGTAATCAGGAAATTTAAGGTCTACTGTCAATTTTGAACCCAGAACACAGCACATTTTGAAGCTTCCTATTACTAAAAACTGTATAATTTAAAAACTTACTTTGGTTTGAATAACCAGACAAAAAAAACCTATACTTTCATTATCAATGTTATTCCACTTATCAATTTTATTTACTGGTTAACATAAATTTTAAAGCTTGACTCACTTTTCATATTATGATAGTTAACATTCAAATATACTAGCAAATAGCTAATCATGTTATGTTTACTAAAATATTTATTTGGTGAACATTAAACATTATATAGAATTATGAGTGCATACTATTTGAAAATTTCACTTAAGAAGTCAACTTGTTCAACTTATTAGCATACCAACTTGTCAAGGCATTCTGAATTTAAAGGATTGAGAAATATTTTTTTTTTAAAGAAAAAAGAAATAATATTTTTGAAGGAAAAAAAAATGTTCAAATAAAAGTTTTACAAAAGTTGTTTTTATTTTTTCTTTAAATTATCTTTTAAAAATAATTCAAACAAAAACATTAATTTTCTAAAAAAAAAGAAGGATGGAGTTAAGTATTGAAAGTGTAATCCAAAACCAATAAGAATAACATGAAATGCAAGCTTTAGAAGGCAATTTTATCAATATAGAAACACAAGCACAATATGAAACCATCTCATTGGAACATATCATGTATTGATATGTTATATATACACAAATATTGATGACACTGGAACATATCATGTATTGATTTGATATATATACATAAATATTGATGATACTGGCAATTTATTTAAACATAAAAACATCATCTTTCTTTACAGCTTTGCAGCTAAAAATGAAGAAAAAAAAGCAGTAGAGATGAATCAGAAAACAGCAGACTTCATTATTCATTGTGCACCCCCAATAAGTTTAGTTAAATGTGATGGATTTCTTAGCTTATTGAAATACACAGACTTAGACCAAGATAATAAAGCTTATACCACAACCACAAAACTGATAAAAGAAAGCTACAAACAGAAAGTCAAATCACAGAAACTGAAATTAAAAAATTAGTAAGTGACCGGGGCCACAGCCTCTGCTGAATGCAGAATTTTTAAAACCCCAGCCCCAGCTAAACAAAGAAAATTAATAACCAGGTGTTAATAGCCAATTCTAGGATTTTTTATTTATTTTCGAATTTCTTTTTTTTTTTTACTGTTTTTGTTTATTTTATTCAAGTTCTAGCTAATGTTTTTTTTATTTAATTATTCAAGTATCTGTTATGAAAGTTAAAAACCATACACTGCTACTGGTATTATGTCACCCAGTAGTAACTACCCCACATCCCGCAATTTTGTAGGATTTTCTTTTTTAGGCAAAGGCAAGGAGAAACAAAGGATGATGTGGATGATGAATGCTGGATCTTCTTGACTCTACTAATAGATTTTTTATTGTGCCTTCTTGATAGTGGCTATACAACTCTTCCTGTTATCTACTAATAAGGAGGGTTGCTAGGGCTATAGCTCTTGACATACCTAAAGCTTTCAACAAAGTTTGTCATGCTGATCTTATCCATAAACTTGCTTTATATGATGTATCTGGGAAAGTTTTTGAGATTATCAAATCATTTTTTTCTAACTGGTTGATTAAAGTCATCCTAGAGGGTCAACATTATTCTTCATTTCCATTAACTTCTGGGTACCTGAAGGTCCTATACTTGGTCCTGTTTTATTTCTAACCTTTATTAATTATTTTCCTAATAGCCTTACTCAAGTGGCGTTTATTTGCTATTGAATCAATCCGTGCCAAATGGTCTAAAATTTTAGGATTCCAACATGGACCCCCTCAGATTTTGATGAAACTTAGATGGTTGGTTTATATCAATGAGAAAAGCAATTCCTGAAAATTTCAGCTTTAAATCTTATGTGGTTCATGAGATATGGCCATTTGAAATTTCTGATTTTTCCAAAAATAAAAACTTCAGTAGCAAAAACATGTTTTGTTCATACTTTGAAGCTCTGTATTTTAAAAACTAAATTTCAGAAAACCTTCTAGTTTTTTTTATCATATACAATGCTAGGCTTACTTTGTTAAAACTTTGACATTAAGTTTTTAAATGTCACATTTTATTCATAATGGCTGCCTAAAAAACCGAAAAAATTGTTTGCAGATATAGAAAGTTGATTTTTGATGGGTCAATATACAAAACTAGCAATTTAAGAAGTAAAAATACATATCTTTTTAGTTTCTATATATGGTAGGCTTCCTAATTTTCAGAAATTTGCTGATATGATACAATTCAGTAAGAAATTATGGACCCCTAAAAATGGCTCCGGCTAGAACTTACAAAATTGTGCCTTCCCTTAAATCCACTGGTAACCTATGATCAACACTGATTTTCATGATATACTTTTTTTCTACTCATTTAGTAGACTTTATTAAAGTGATTTCAGAAAAAAAAAATAGTGGGTACTCATGGGGAAGTTACAAAGTCAGAACAATGAAGTTGGCACAAAATGCATTAAAAACGCAAAAAATAGAGATATTGATGTACTTTAGTATTCATTATTTACTGCAATGCAAAAAAATGTATATATATATGAAAGTATATCAAAATCATTGCTACAAAATAGCTTTAAATTAGGACTGAATTAAACTCAGGTTTTAAATAACCTTAGTTGACCCCCCCTGTCTTTTGATGGCTTTTTAATTTGTATTTAAAACAACTTTAAGTTTAAGTATAACAAGTTTGTAAAAATGGCAAATGAAGCAAAATTAATTAGAGTTTGTAAACCAATATCTAAGAGCTTGAAAACTTTTCTTTCTTGGGGAAAAGAATCAGTTATCGGGTACACGGAAGAAAACAAATTAGTTGTTAAAATATAGTGTAAGATTTGTGCTAGACACAAAATAGCTATATTAAAAGATACTTTAGTTAAAGAGCGTTGAATTATTTGTTTATTGAGGGAACTTGTTTGGTGACAAAACATCAGGTAAAATTAAAATGATTTACTTTTTAAATTTTTCAGTCCAGAAATAAATTTATCATAATTTTTATGAATTTAGTTATTTTACTATGTTTCATTAAAAGTATTATGTATAAAGTTTTATGTAATGTGCCATGAATTTATGTTATTAGTTATTACATTGCAAAGAAAATCTATTTTTTATTGAATTATTTAATTTTAATCGTGAATTTTTTTGATAATAATGAAGGTTGATCGCCATCTTAAAGGACAATGTCATAGGTTGGCGGAACAAATTGAAAATAGGAAGTTGTCGAGTCACCAATCTCATTATAGAAAACTCGGTACCACATAACAGCCGCAATGCGTTATCAAAAATGTTAAGAACTGCCTATGAAATGGCTTTAAAACCGAGCATGCCACATAGCCATTTTGAGACGCTGATAAAATGTCAAAGAATTAATGGTGTACTTTTTTTAGAAGGAAAATGCAACAATAAAGCAGGTTATTGATTTTTTTATAATTTTTACAACCATTTTTTTTCTAAATGATTTTTTATTTTTTTACAACATTTTAATCAACTTGCATTCTTGTAGGTTTGTTTATTTATATATTATTTTGGTGTCTGCGCAAAACAAACACAAGGTCAGCATACTAATAAAAGAAATCGTTTAAAAAAGTAACTAAAACAAACAACGCTAAACAGGCTTAAGTTTAGGGATCGTCCTTAAATTATGCAACGCAAAACTTAAAGTTAGAGATCATTTTGCTCTTTGGCGCGGCGATTTTTGCGGGACTTTAAAGGTTGTTTATATACTTAATTTAATTAATGACAATGCAAGGGAAAAATTTCAATTCTTTGTTTTTTGTCTATAAGTTTAATTTTGCGTTACGTAATTTATGGAGAAATCGTTAAGAAGAGTAATTATAACAAACAAAAAACTTTTAGAGCTTTAGGCTTTAGTTTAGCGTGAATAAATAGAATCGTTGTTGGATAACAAAAAAAAAGTTTAAAAAAACTCTTTAAAAACAACATTTTAAAAATTGCCTAAAAAGTAAAAAAAATATATATAAAACTATTTAAAAACAACATGCACAACCTGAAATATCCATTAAAGTCAATGACTGAAAATGTTGGGCAACTAAGTACAACTCGTTACTATTGGTGCCCAATATTTTCAGTCATTGACTTTAATAGATATTTTAGTTTGTGTCCTGTGAAATAGTTTATTTTTTACTTTTTGGTCCATTTTTAAAATGTTGTTTTTAAAAAGTTTTTTTTATATATTTTTTTTATTTCTTTTTTTTAACATGTGAATATATCTCCTGCATTGCTAGTGCTGTAAAAGAAAAAGTTACTAAAATCATCAATGATAAAAGTTTTTTCTCAATTCTCTCCGATGGCTCACAGGCTAGAAAAACGAAGGATGAGAAAGAGTTGATTCTTTTTACTTACTTTGTAGTAAAGCTTACTTTGTAGTAAAGATACTACAAAGTAAGCAGGGACCCCTGCTTACTTTGTAGTATCTTTACTTGATATGAACAATTTAGGTGGTATGGGTGCAAATGCCATTAAAAATGCTATTGACAGCATTTTTAATGAAACAGGTAATATTCCTTTAACTGCGGCAACTTACAAATCCAAACTTGTAAGCGCGACAGCTGACGGAGCAAGCGTTAATTTTGGAATTTATAATGGAGTGTTAACGCAATTAAAAAACGATAGAATGTGGTTGATTAAAATTCACTGCGTAAACCATCGTTTAGAATTAGCTAAAAACGTGCTGTAAAAGATATATCACAGTTTAAAAAGTGTGAGTGTTTTTATATTTCTATTTTTAGTTTGTTTCGCAATTCTGGCAACTTCAAAAGTGCGGTTAAAAAAGCTGCTGATGCTTTGAATATTACATACTACACCTTGCCTAAAATATCGGGAGCGCGCTTTATAAGTCACAGGAGGCGCGGTTTTACAAGACTATTACATAACTGGCCTTCGTTTATTGTGGGCTTTAAAAGCGCTCTTGCGGATCGCGACACCAAAGCAGATATGCGTGCTAAGATTTCTGGGATATCCAAACGGTTGCATGAATACAGACTATTATGTATAGTTTGTAGTTATTTGGATATTTTAGAAAAATTATCTCCGTTATCTTTGGTTTTCGAAAAAAAAATGTTAATGGTAAATGAATTAAAACCAGCAGTGGATGTAACTAAGGCTAGCTTAGACAAATTAGGTAATGAAGGTATTGATGATATTATTGATTCATATTTGCTAAAGTTCAGAATCAATGAAAAAGATGGTACAACTAATCTTGTTTCTTTATATTTCAAAGAAGGCCACGAATTGAAAAATCGAATCCAGAGTTTGTTCAGATTGAGCTCGGCAACATGGCTAATCTTAACTTGGAATGTCTTAGTTCTGCCTCTAAATTAAGAAAAGCAGCAATTGACATCATTCTGCCATTGATAAACGATAGATTTAGTTCCCTGTTAAATCCAATATTTGAATCAATGGATTGGTTAGATCCACAACTATGGACAGCAGACAGCATGTATGGTGATGTCAGCATATCTTTATTACTAAAAGAACTCTTTTACCCTCTAGATGCTGCAGGAAATAAATTTTAAAATGGTTCTTTCGGAATGGAAAGCTGCAAAACTAGTAGTAAATACTCAGTACACCATAGCATTTACACCACTGGAAATGTGGCAGAAATTTTTCCTTCATCATAGAATGAAGTCTCCAAACTTTTGTCTTCTAGTTGAACTTATGATGTGTATTTCTGGTTCTAATTCCGCTGTCGAACGCATTTTCAGTATTTTGACTGTAATACTAACTGATCGGCGTTTAAAAATGAACCACTATACAATGGAAGACTCTATAATAATAGCAGGGAATGACCAGAATTTCACTTACCAAGAACGAGAAGATATTTTGAGTTGTGCTGAGGATATCTATTTAAGTAAGCGAAGAATTTATCGCCTTGATTCAGCTAATGGTAGCAATGTCACTGAATATAGTAGCGACGAAAGCAGTTACAGTAACGATTTAAGTTCTACATCTGAATCGGACGGATAAACATTTTATTTTACATTTCTTTACTCGTAAGTCACTTTATGTATGTAATTACATTTGTGTTTTGTTAGGTATGCTTTTGTTTCGTTCATGTATGTTTGTGCTCTGTCTCGACCTCTGGCGCGGTGCTGATCCACTCATAAGTCACTTTATGTATGTAATTATGTTTGTGTTGTGAAACAATATTGTCTAATGTTAGATATAGCTCCTTAACATGATATTTTGTTGAGCTCACTTTTTATGGGATGCGTCATTGCTATTTTCCCACTACTCTGTAGCGCGTGCACAAAACAGTTTTCTAGTTTTATTGCTTATATTTAGTCCCATAAAATCATTACATTACTGAAGAGTCCTAGATATAAATTATAAAACATTTATTTGTGTAAACAAATATTAATAGCTAAAAAGATTTACGGCTTTGCAGATGTGGCTCTAAGAATGAGCCATAGTATTAAAATAATAATTCATTTGATAATATATTCTCAAAACAATTTATGCTAGAAATCTTACAACTTAACAAATCGTGAATGATACAACTTTTATTACATTTTAAAAGAATATTCTAGAACTTTTTTTCGCGTAGTCAGCATATTATTTGAACCAATAGAATTAGTTTGTTCGTAAACTTGGCGGGTTTTTTAGTGTTAGCTTTTTATTCTTCGACATCAAGATGTTTTGAGAACATTCAAGTTTATATATGTTTCCATGTATGTCTATAAAACAAAATATTTTTGTTTTACGGAAACACATAAACTTGAATGTTCTCAAAACGACTAAATAACGTGGCCAGTTTTTCGCAACTAAATATAATTTCCGTGGTCAGTATTCGAGAGCGATCGCTCCCGCTTTCTGACCAAGCCTGTGCTAGTGTTTTTTTTTTCTGCAATGATCAATATAATAAAACTTGGAATCAGGGGTAAAAAAAAAGTAATGACTCCGACTCCAGTAGTTGAAATTTTTTGAGTGCAATTCCGACTCCAAAGCAAAATTTTTGAAAAACTCTTTGAATTCTTTGAAAAATATTATGCAATAAGTTAAAACTTTTTTTAAACAAATTTATGAAACATTCTTTGAGGTTTACTATGAACATAAGGTTAATTGAATGTTTTGTGTATGCAGGTGCAATACCGAGAAGTCTTACTATATTATACATGACATATAATAACTGAATTAAAATAAAACAATCAATATTAATGCTTTTATAGTTCAGCTTGATTTTATTTATTTTTTAAACAAAATAATAATAGTGTTATAAATATAAGATATGTAAATTTAAAAATTATATTGAAACTCATTAAAAAAAAACTTTTTTTCTTATGCGCTCTTATCAGTAGAGACTTTTTAAACATAAAAGAATATTTATTGGCTTTAACACATACATTAACTATCTTATAGCCTACTGCTACAAAGTAGTGCCACTACATGAACTAAGGGTTTGATATTGGGCACCATTCTTTACTTTTAATATTTTAATAATTAAAGATTGCTGCCCATTGCCAAACCCTCAGTCAATGTAGCGGCACTCTCTAAACTTTCAAATAAAACTCTATTTTATATTTTATTATAGAACAAAAATCTTGAATATAAGATTTTACCCGTTATCATAGTTTCATCAGGAATTTCTTCAATAAAACACTTTTTTTCAGTTTCTCCCATATGAAAATACAAAGCAAAACTCGGAGAAATTAATAAAAATAGAGTTAATACTAAGAAATCTTTCATTTTATATATCAATTAAAACTTCAAAAAATAACAGGATCTATTACTAAAAAGGTATGATCTTGGATACTGTTATTATTGATCTGGACTAATCAAATATGCGGATAAAATCGAGTCTAAATGATAAATGACACGTTTTAGAAGACCGTGTGATTGCAACATGAAGCTAAACCGCAAATTTACGCTCGTGATGAAACTACTGCAAAACATAAATAGAAAGTTAGTCTAATAACTCCCCGAAAAAAAAAAAACCCGGTTAAAAGTAGAGGGTAATGTGATTCTCAAAAGATCGACATTAACTTTATAATCACATTCTTTAGGGTATTGGTTATTGCAACCCCACTTCCCCCGTAATGTTCTTGCAGCCAACCTCCAACCATTATCACATTGTCGTAATTATTATTATTATTATTATTATTATTATTATTATTATTATTATTATTATTATTATTATTATATATATATATTTCGTCAATAAACAATCATTTTACAATGTTTTTTGTAAAAATTAAAAATTAAATATTTATATTCTGACAGGAGCAAGCAGAAGACAATGTGTCTTATCACCCTGCTCCTAAGTTCGTGAAAATATCAATAAAGTTTTACGTATTAACTTCTTAAAATATACGTTGTATAAGTTTTATAAATATTGCAAGTTTTGTACATAATACAACACATCACAGTTCACAAAATATACATAGGCCACAAGCATATATACGTGTTAACAAATCAATATATAAATGTTTTTTTAAAAATACAAAAGAATGTTTTTATTATTTAAATCTAATAAGTATAGTTTAACGGCTCTTTTAAATAGTTTAATTGAAGTCATGTTTTTCATGTCTCTATTCAGGAAATAGTTCCACAAACGTGGTCCTCGACATGTTATTGAGAAGTCTGTTTTTCTAAGGGATTTTGTAGGTATGAGAAAATTGCTAATGGAATATCTTGTAGAGTATTTGTGATTAATTAAGGTGAAATGAGGCTGAAAATATGTTGGAAGCATGTTGTTATAAATTTTAAACATAAATAACAGATTTTGATAGATGTTTAGTTTATAAATATTTAAAACATTAATTTTTTTAAGTAAAGGCTCGGCGCATGCATATCTACCTGCATTCAAAATTAACCGGCTCGCTTGTTTTTGTTTGGTATTAATTTTTTTTAAAGAGGATGAATAATTACTTGCCCACGCTATATTGCAATAACTAATGTGACTATGAATAAATGAAAAATACAAGCTTTTTAAGCACATTATATTCAAAAGGTGCTTCGTTTTGAAAAGGATCCCAAGAGCTTTTGAAATGTTGTTTTCCACAAATTGGATATGATTTTTCCAGTTTAAATGATCGTCAAATATTATACCAAGGATTTTCATTGAATGAACTCTTTTTACTTTAATGTTGTTTATAAATAAATCAGGAAGTTTCAGGGGTATGTTATCAGTTTTCGAAGGTTTTGTGAACAGAATGTATTTAGTTTTATCAATGTTTACGGACAGTTTATTGGCTTTAAACCATTCATTGAGATTAATTAGCTCTGTGTTTACAGTAGAAAAAACAAATTTTATATTAGACCCCGAAAAGTATCATCAGCAAAAAGAACAAAATTAAGGAATTTAGAGGATAAGTGGATGTCATTAATATATAAGAGAAACAACAGAGGACCAAGTATTGAGCCCTGAGGGACACCCCAACTAATAACTTCTAACTGCGTATAAGTTAAATCATACGTCACACATTGTTTACGATTTTGTAAATAAGACTCGAGCCATTTTATATTACTATTTTGAATTCCATAATTTTTTAATTTATAGAGAAGGATTTCGTGGTCGACAGTGTCGAACGCCTTCAACAAATCAACAAAAACTCCAAGTGTATAATTATTACCATCAAATCCTTTCAAAATATTGCTAGCCAAATCCATCACAGCATGCTCAGTGCAATGATTTCTCCGAAATCCAAACTGTTTAGGATATAAAATATTGTTTTTATCGATGAAGTTATATATTCTATTATACATAATACGTTCAAGTACCTTTGAAAAACAGGAAAGAATTGAGATGGGTCTGTAGTTTGATTCTAAAGAATCGTTGCCGTTTTTATAAATTGGAATTATTTTAGCAAGTTTTAATTGATCAGGAAAGTCCCCGTTTTTTAATGAAAGTTTAAAAATAATGAAAAGAGGCAATTCGATAATATCAAAGACACTTTTCAAAACATTTGTATTAATTTCATCAAGACCTGCACTTTTATTTTTCTGAAGCATGTCAAAAGCTGAACGAAATTCTTCAATGGAAAGTTCCGAATTGTCCATAACAAAATCTGATTTTTTCAAAAAAGACTGGAATGTTTTGCTACTTGGAGAGATTTCTTTGGCTAAATTTTTCCCAACATTTATAAAAAAATTATTCAGTCTCTCAGCAATTGTTTTTTTATTAAAAATTTCACCTTTATCAGTTTTCAGTCGATTAGGGAAGTTGCTAGATGTAATTTTTGTTTTCCCTGTTATTTCTTTTATTATAGTCCAAGTTTTTTTAGCGTTTCCAAATGATTTCTGAAGTAGTCCAGAATAGAAGTTTTTTTTTTATTGCTTTTTTATTTTTTCAAAATAGTTTTTGTATTTTTTATATTTAGTTTCGTTTTCATAGTTTTTGTTTTTTAATATTTTTCGTAAAGCTTTTTTTTTTTTTTTTGATGATCTTAAAAGACCTTTAGTCATCCACGGGCTATGCACATTTTTGGATTTTATAGTTTTCTGAACTTTAGGAAAAGCCTTTTCATATTGCCTTGTAAAGACGCGGATAAAGAAATCGTATGCGCTACATGTGTCATTGCAATCATTCAATAACTCCCAATTGATTTCACGCAAAAGCTGTCTAAAAATCGCAATCGAGTCTTTGTTTACATGCCTTATGTATACTGTTATGGGTTTTTTATTTATACAGCATTTAGTATTTGTAGTTAAAAAAACAGGGAAATTGTCACTGATATCCGTTTTTATTATACCACTGTTGATTGTCGAGTTACTATAATTATTAGTGATAATATTGTCAATGATAGATGATGTTTTTCGAGTTACACGCGTCGGTTTGTTAATCATGGGGTAAGCACTAAATTGAGAAAGAGTATTTATGATATTTTTGACGTGGTTATCAGTGTTTAAATTTATCAAGTTTAAATTAAAGTCTCCGAGTAAGTATAGATGTTTTTTAGAGGTTTGAGTTAATATTCGCCTTAAGTCATTTTCAAATTGATTGTAACTGCCATTAGGTGGTCGATATAAAACTGTTATAAACGAATTTTTTTCTTTTTGGTTTATTATCTCTATAGTTAATGATTCGCAATTTGAGTTATTCACACTTAGATTATCTACTTTTTTATACGTCAACGAGTTGTGAATAAATATGCATACGCCTCCGCCAATACCTTCTCGAGAAAGAGAAGTAATGATACTTCTCTTTCTCTTTTCTACAAATACTATAATGGGCACTGCTCTAAAGAGCTAGCGTCTCTTGTGCCATCTACTAAAACTCATTCTCGTGTTACTCGTCATTCAATTAAGTCTCATCATTTTTCTGTGACTGTTCCTAAGTGCTCCAAAAACTCTTATTCGTCTAGTTTTTTTCCTCGACCATCAGTTCTTTGGAATTCGCTTCCTTCATCTTGCTTTCCTAATTCATATAATTTGCAATCAAGTCGTCTGTCAATTGTTATCTTGCTCTAAAATCTTCATCTTTTCTCTTCCAGTAACTTTCAACTTTAATTAGTGGCTGCTTGCAGCCTTGTTGGAAGCGAAGATGTTTAAAAAAAAAAAATCATCTCTGTTATTAACCAATTTTAAATATTAAGAAACACAAAACATAACGTTACGTTTCAAAACGAAACATGACATTATGTTTCTTATCTAGTTATAAGAGTGCGGAGTCTCACACGAATCAATATTAGGTTATTATTATTTTTTAAATGCAGCATTGATATGGACCACCTAAAACATCTTTTATGATGTAAATACATTACACTATGTAACACAACTTTGCTCCTGGCTTCTAAGTGTTATATTTCAATTGCTTCCCGGTGGGAAATTGGCTAGCGAATAGCTAGCCGATTTATATTTTATAAGATACTTTATTTAAGATAACATTTATATTTTATAAGGTACTTATTAAAAGAATATAAAATTACAGATAAAGCAGGTCATTTTCTTTGAATGACCAAATATCGTAACAAAATCTAGATATGAGACGCAATTAAAATGTCTCAAATATAGATTTTTTTAACGTTACGTTACGGGTTAGTTTACACTTTTTAAAAGTTGCACTTTTATAAGTTAATTAATTTTTTTTTTTTTTTTTTATTTGCATTCACTCCCAACAAGGCTGCAAGCAACCACTATCAAGTTGGGAGTTACTAGGAAAATAAAGAACAGAGTTATAGAGCAAGGAAACGGTTGACAGAAGACTTGAAAAGTTGAAGGTTGTATGAGTCAGGAAAACATGAAGATGGGAGAGAGTTCCAAAGGATTGAAGTGTGGGGAAAAAAACTAGATGAATAAAAGTTTTTAGAGCATGCAGGGACAGATACAGTAAACGAATGAGACTTAGCTGAATGACGAGTAAAACGAGAATGAATTTTAGTTGATGGAACTAGAGATGATAACTCTTTTGAGCAGTGACCATGATAGTATTTGTAGAAAAGAGAAAGAGATGCAACTTTACGACAATGGGAAAGAGGTTCAAGCTTAGCAGATAGTCCAGGTCCAACAACTTAAGACGTAATCTTGATAATTTTTTTTTTGTGACAAATTTCTTAAAAAAAAAAAAATTGAAGTAACCAATATAATAGACTTACTTAAATACAAAGTCTTATCTTCTTACGACGAAACTAACGCATGCCGACAGAACTCTGAAGATTTTGAAAATTGCTGTTTTTAAACCTTCTCGTTGCGTAGCTAAATCAAATGAAACAATTATATCTTATAAAATATTTATTAAAAGAATATAAAATTACAGATCAAGAAGGATATTTTTCTTTAAAAGTTTTTTTTTTTTACAGTCTACATACAGATTTCTAGTATCTTGCACACGGCATAGCAATAATTGCTTTTATTCTTCCTTTGCAGTGATCAAA